GGAACAGAGAGGAAAGTTTATACATTCCACTTTGATAGCGGCGGACTATAGAGGAACAGAGAGGAAAGTTGAGGAGGTGGAGCTTGTGCCTTGGGGGGGATCTCATTGTCAGATCTTTTTTGAAGCTCTAGAAACTTCCAAAACATCCTGCACAGGTGCAGAAGAAACCCACTTGTGTGAATTCACAGAGGACCACTAGAAGAATCATGGTTACAGGTAGGTAGCCTTTCTATTTATTCAGCCTAAATCTCTCAGAACAGACCTGGTCCCAGTCTGCAACCAGGAATCCTTTCATGTCTGGACTTTGGTTGCATTCTGGGGCAAGAGAGGAGCTGGATGTAAAGAGGAAAATGAACATCTTTCCAAAATGCATAGAAGCATGCATTTGATGGATTCACATTTCAGAAAATCCATACAAAAGGAAAATGTAGTTCATATCTAGTTTGTATCTAGTTTGCATCTAGAAAAAAAAGATTTTTGTACAGAGAGGAAACTGTTCAGAATTGAGGCATCAAAGGTCAGGATAGAAAAAACAGAAATCTTGACAGGGCTGGCTTCACAGTTCTGTCCAGCCCTCATCATGTTAATTAATCCTTCTGTTCATGCTGAAGTATTTCCTCTGAATTAGCATCAGTCATGTAGTTCTTGGATTTTTTTTTCTGGCTTTCGCTTGCTTACTAGCTTGCTTCCTAATGACTTGAATTATTTTTCTAATCCTCTTCTCCAAATTGAACTTCTCTTTTGTTTCCCCAGCTGCTTTATAATGCCATAAAGATAGTAATTATAAATTGGTTTACATCATGGAGCTACAAGATAGTTTGTAAGACAAGAGGAAATTGTTTGCCCATAATCAGCAGTACATTCTATATATCACAGTGCTTTGGCTATGGCATTATAAAACCATGACTTGATGATCCAACACATTCATAAAATATTATGGGGACTTGCCATTAAAGGGATGAGAATGTATCACTGGAGAGGATGAAGCAGGAATGACCTCAAATTATTTTAGGAAACCTAATATATCATCCCAGTCTGAATACATGCATTTAAAGGTGTATCCTGGAATGATGTGCCTGCAATCTCCTTAAATTTTTCGTGACCTGATTTTCTGAAGGCAGAGCTGCAGCATGCTGTGCTGTTAGTGTGAAGATTACAATTTTGCGTGTGTCTATTAATTCGATTGTTTTAGAATCAGTCATACTATTCTCTGAAAAGCAACAAATCAGCCATACAGAAAGAGGTAAAATAAATTAGTCACCCAGAAAGGTGCAAAATAACACTGTAACATTGACCGATACAGATCTGAAATGAGGCAAGTTAAGATTCTGTATATTTAGTCCAGAAAATTTCAGAGCATTCACAGAGTCCTTTCACTTGCGCATGTTTTAACAGAGAAATAATTATGTGGTCAGTGCCAGGAATAAAGTAATCAAAATGCAGACAAAATATTACTAAACTGTTGACATACCAATAAAATTTATTTTTCATTGAGAACATTGTATAGAAAAGAATTTGCAACAAATATAAAGTGCTTGCATAACAAATCTAAAGGTGCAAGGCAAGTATAGATTGGCTTGAAAATAATTGAAAATTAAGTAGTTTTTTTTTAAGATGGAAAATGCTTATCAGATTATCCTATGGTGGAAGCAGGGTAGAAAGCCTTATAGAATGATACACCCTAATATATGAAAAAATAATGCCTGAGAAAGATAGGTGGGAATCAGAAATGAGAAATGAGGATATGAGGAAGGTAACTAAGTGCCACCAAAAAATTGAGATTTAATATTAACTATTGGGATGTGGTGGTGCTGTGGGCTAAACTGCAGAAGCCTGTGCTGCAGGGTCAGAAGACCAGCAGTTGTAAGATTGAATCCACGTGATGGAGTGAGCTCCCATCGCTTTGTCCCAGCTCCTCGCCAACCTAGCAGTTCGAAAGCACGTAAATGCAAGTACAGTGGTGCCCCGCATAGCGACGTTAATCCGTTCCAGGATTAACGTTGCTATGTCAAATTGTCGCTAAACGGAACAAAAAACCCAATAGAAACGCATTAAATCCTGTTTAATGCGTTCCTATGGGGCAAAAACTCACCGTTCAGCGAAGATCCTCCATAGGGGCGGCCATTTTCGCCGCCTCAGTAAGTGAGGAATACGTCCAGAAAACAGCGGCAGCCATTTTGGAACCGCCCATCAGCTGTTAAAAAAGCATTGCTTTGCCATGATCAGTTCCCCAAGCAGGGAACCGATCATAGCAAAGCACTGCCAACCAGCCAGCTAGCCAGCCCGGGAGACACCAGGCGTCCTTGGGCAGTGGGCGAGCGAGGGCTCGGGAGGAAGGCCGCCGGAACACCCGAGCCTTGCTCTCCTCCCGGCTCTCTCCGAAGCACCCCTCACCCCCGTCTCCGCCGCCGCCGTGCCACCAGGAGGAGGGCCGCCGGAACACCCGGGCCTTGCCCTGCCTCCCGGCTCTCCCCCAGCCACCCCCTCATCCTCTCCACCACCCCCGCCGGTCAGCT